GAAACAAATATTCATACAAGTTATACGTGTGACTGATTTTCACTTGTTTGCTACTCAGACCTGGCAGGGAACATTTTGGAATTTGTAAAGTCAAATTTAGATTTTGGAGGCAGAATTTGCACTTCAAAATGTAAGTGCGTTACACAGACTCAATGGGATGTCTTGTTTCTGTTTAATTTTAGCAGGCATCAGATATGAGATACTATAATCGTGAGCTGTTGATGTAAACAAACTGAAATGAAGTAGATGGTTGTCAGTAACCTCATGAAATTTGTGTCCTCTTGATTTTATCTTTCATGTCATTCTAGAACTTTTATCTCTGATGTATTGCAGTCACAGGTTTATAGAATTAGGCAACATGAGGACAGAAACTACGTGGTTAAAATTCACTTACTAGTTCTAAGTACACTGAGTTGGGGTATATGACTATGGAAACATGGTTTGGGAGTTCAGTTCCTCAGTGTGGCCTTCCCAGTAGAAAGCTCAGCCTGTGAAGCCTTGTATGTATGTATGTATGTATGTATGTATGTATGTATAGTCCCAGAGCATCTCCGGCAGAACTGACTAGTAAACCACTGCTGGGTATTTTATACCTAGAGGACCCTGAAAGGGTTGCCATAAGTCAAAACTGATAGCATGCCAAAAAAAACACCAAACAAACAAACAAACAAACAGTAAGAGGAAGGTTCCAAGTAGATCAGATGCACCGAATCAACTAGAGCTTAGTAAGTTAAACATACATTAGTTAAATTGATTGTGACTCCTCTATGTGGAACTAACAATTGGATTTAAGCCCTAGACATAAGGAAGAGTGTGCTGAAAATGGAAGCCCTGTATTGAGACCTCCTCTTTTCCTCTGTAGTGGGAACAGATTATCCAGTGTTTTGACATCATGGAAACTGTGTGTTCTCCACCATTGCTGATGCCAGCCAATGATAAAAGAACAAGATTAGGGAAATATGCAGTGTAATGATACCATAAGGAAGTTGTGACACCACGTGAGAGGAAATCTCGATGGACCTTTTGTAGTGTTGAAACACTTAAGAATCCTTGTTCTCACAGTCTAAATCTTTAAACAAAACTGTAAAAATGGTATATGCATCCGTGTGTTGTCAAGTTGTTTCTGACTGTGATCCTTTCCAGGATTTTCTAGGTAGAAAATACTCAGAAGTGGTTTACCCTTCCGTTCTCCTGAGCACCCTGGGACTGTGCAGCTTGTCAGAGGCAACAAAGGCTGGCTCTACTCAGAGGAGGCATGGTGGGGAATCAAACTCCAAACCTCTAACTCCACAACCAGATGCCTATCCGGCAAAGCTATCCAGCCAGCATAAAAATGGTAGTGTTGGCAATAATGGCTATTCCGCACAGCTGTCTTCTCTCCACAGTACAGTGGTACCTTGCTAAACAACAACCCTCTCTCTTTTTGTATATAATTTATTATTTTTAAACTACTAGGAATGGGGTAGGGAATACAAAGGGTAAAAGGGAGTGCAGCGGATGGAAAAAAAGGTTTTGAGGCTAGGAGAACACAGAGTATACAATCATCCACTCTATTCATATTAAGTATGCATGCCTCTGATCCATTCATTTTCCAGTACAAAAAAAAATTTGTATTCTTTTATATATATATCAAGTAGTATACATACATACATACACACACACACACACACACACACATATATATATATATATGTATGTATGTGTGTGTGTGTGTGTGTGTGTGTGTGTGTCCAACTCTATCATATAATCGAGACCAATTATAGAACACATCCCCTCTTTGATTTTCCTTCTGCCATGGACATATCAGCCTATCTGGAAAGCTATCCATTTCTGGTACTTCCCATATTTTCTCAGTACCTTTTTCCCGTTTCTGTGCCTCTATTTTCTTCCAATTTTGGGGAGATAAAATTAAATCCAAGACAGTAGTCTGATTTTTGAAATCACCTTTTCTGACTTTTATAACTGGGTATCCCACGTGGCAACTTCTAATCCCCTCTACATTACCAACCATGTAACCTGGCATCTCTCTCAATAAAAACTGTTCTGGAGTTTCAATTTCATTCAATTGCTGTCTTCTCTCCAAAGTACAGTGGTACCTCGCTAAACGACGACCCCGCTAAATGATGAATCCGCATAACAATTACTTTTTGTGACGCTATAGCGATTTGCAAAACAGTCATTCCTGTGGGGGATTTTCACTGGATGTTGATTAGGTCCGTGCTTTGCGAACCGTTTGTTCGCAAGACAACGATTTTTTTGGCTTCGCAAAATGGCTGCCCTGTGTTTTCCAGACCCATGCATTGCAGGGCAGCCATTTTTACAGCTGATCGGCACTCGTAAAATGGGTTCCCTATGGGCGATCTTCACTGGACGATGAGTATTTTCCCCATTGGAATGCATTAAACCAGGTTTCAATGCATTCCAATGGGGAAAGGGTTTTCGCTTGACGACGATTTTACTAATCAGCAATTTTCACGGGACGGATTATCGTCGTCATGTACTTTTGATGTCTTGGAGAGTCAAGGAATCTTGGAAATCATCTAGTGTAAATCAGCTTTGGATGACCTTTTAAGGACTCTTTTCCTCTCTTCTAATTCCATGATGAAGGCATCTTCTATGTTAATCGCAGAAAGTTTTTTTTCCCTCCACCACAAGTTTTGGTGACAAGATAAATGGACCCCAAGCAATGAGGCCTCAGAGTGATTAGCTGGAAACAGAATACCTTTGGAGTTTTGTTTTGTTTTGTTTTAAATGCAGTGTTACATGTCAGATTTGGCAGTTCCTTCCTTTTACAGAGGCAGATTAAAAACATTAAAAAGCAGCAAATGAAGAGGAAGTTATTCGGGAAACGAAAGAGAGCAGGATTTAAAATGCCACAACATAATTCAATTAAAAAGTCCATTTAAAAAAACCTGAGGAGATTGAAAACAGAAGTCCCAACTCAGTCAAAAGCCACAACAAGCTTCTGTTTACAGATTTCTAGCCATTATAAAATATCAAATAATGGAAGCTTCAGAAGGAAGCTTTAAATGGAATGATGGGTTAAGCTGTAAAGCTTCATTCTCTTTCATTTATGGAAGTAATTAGTACAAACAATTAGTTACTTGTAATGAATTTCTTTTTTTGCCAACAGTGATATAGCTTCATCACATTACAATTGTAACTTAATGAGAAGGTGTCGTTCTATATCTGATGTTCCTAGCACTTATAAAATTACTCTTATAGTTATTGGGATATGATCCAATTAAATAGTTGTTATATGCCATGATGTTGTTTCCAACTAAGGGGACCCTATAAATTAATGACCTCCGAAAGATCCTGTCATTAACAGCCTTGCTCAGGTCTGCAAATGAAAGCCTGTGATTTCCTTTACTGAGTCAGTCTCTCTCATGTTTCGTCTTCATTTTCTACTGTCTTGTGTTTTTCCTAGGATCATTGTTTATTCCAGTGTGCCTTATGTTCTTATACTGTATATTCAAAGTAGAATGTACAGTAATCATTTTTACATATTGAGAGAGTTTTGGCTTGATTTAACCTAGAACCCATTTATTTGCCTTCCTGGTGGTCCAGGAAGCTCTCTTCCAACATATTTCAATTGACCCTCTTTTTTCCCCCTGTTAGCTTTCTTTGTTGTCCACTTTTCACATCTATGTACACTAATTAAGAATACCATAGGGAGGATGAGCTAGACCTCTCGATCAATACACTGCTACACTTCAAGATATTTTCTGTGGTTCCTTCTTAGCTACCCTTCTGAGTCTTTGGATTTCTTTGGATTTCTCCATTTGGAGTGATAATTGAACCAAGATATAGAAAACCTTAAGCAATTTCAGTTTCCTCATTGCCAACTTTACAGTTATGTAATTCTTTTGTATTCTTTGTCTTCTTCATCTTCAACTTTAATCCTGCTTCTGAACATTCTTCTTAATGTTTATTAGTGGAAGTTTCATATTATATGATTGGTGCTGCTGTCTTATGCTACCTTGTGGGTTTGAATGAGATGGGAAGAGAATCTGCTTTATATAGAATAGAATATGCTTTATATAATAGGTCAGCAGTGTGTTTGGGAGTGGGGAAGAGGGAATAGAGAGAAAGCATTCTGAGTAAAAATTTATGCGTTTTATTTTTTATTTTTAGATAGCATCTTTGCTGAGTTAGTGTTTGAGCCAGTGTGCAAGTAAAAATGATAAAGTAATAAAAATGCAAAACTACATAACCAAAAGAAGTTGTCAATAACATGAAATAAGGGACTACTCCAGAAAGTCAGTGAGTAGTATTAACTGTTAAAACACCACTGAATAGTGTTCTCTTAACCAGCTGTCTAAGACAAGACTTTTCAAAAAAACAGACAGGGATCTACTGGTGTGTCGCTGCATGATTTACAGTAAATTAGCAAAATTGCCCACCTCCTAAATGTTTAAACATTTGTTGTTGTTTAGTTGTTAAGTTGTATCCGACTCTTTGTGACCCCATGGACCAGAGCATGCCAGGCCCTCCTGTCTTCCACTGCCTCCCGGAGTTGGGTCAAATTCATGTTGGTTGCTTCGATGACACTGTCCAACCATCTCATCCTCTGTCATTGCCTTCTCCTCCTGCCTCAAATAAGTCCTAGAAGGAAAAGAGCATAGCTTTTCTGACTTTTATAACTGGGTATCCCACGTGGCAACTTCTAATCCCCTCTACGTTACCAACCATGTAACCTGGCATCTCTCTCAATAAAAACTGTTCTGGAGTTTCAATTTCATTCAATTGCAGTCTTCTCTCCAAAGTACAGTGGTACCTCGCTAAACGACGACCCCGCTAAATGATGAATCCGCATAACAATTACTTTTTGTGACGCTATAGCGATTTGCAACTGTACACTGGGATAATGTCTGGCTTCAAATATCACCTGTCCCTCCTCTTCCCTCCTCACAATGGCATTGTTCCAACAACCAATCGAAACTGGGCTGTGCTATAGAATAGACAAGTGGCAATTTAAAGGGAAAAGACCGTGGTGATGATGGCAACAGCTGGCCAGGTGGCAGTGAGTAGCTAGCACTGGTGACCCTGAGGGCATGGAGCTGTAGGGAGTAAAGAAAAGGAAGTAGACCTGACAAACCTGGAAGTCAGCCTGCTTCTGGTAGGAAGGGGAAAAAAAAGGTAGCTTTTCTTGGGAAGAGGGATTTCAGAAGCCAGTGCCACTAATTTAACCTCTTTACGAGGCTGAACTTGGCACTTCTTCACATGGGGGTGTGGTGGGAAATGGCCAGGGAGCTAAGAGGGAACCATTGGGGCTGCTGCCACTGCTTCCCAACATCTGCTGCCTGAAGCAGCTGCCTTACTCTCACTAAGGATAGCAATGTCGCTGTTGTGGTCCCTGCCATTCAGAGCTTTGTCGGTAAAAAACATCACCTTGAATTAGGCTCATAAATGAACTGGAACCAATGGTGTGTTGGTGTTACATGACCTGTAAAGTTCATGCCTAATATCAATCTGGCTGCTGTGTCTTGAAATGGACTCTTTGCAAGAGTTGCCCCTGGTTGATTCTGCTAACTAGAGGAATCTGAAACATTCCTTTTTTTTTTAAATTGCAGTTCCCAGAGTCCCCTAACTAACGTGGCAACCAAAAATAAATAAATAGTAATAACGTTTCCAAGCCCCACCAAAATGTGAGGTGATTAAAGTGTGAATCACTGTGGCCAGATTCTCCCTCAGTATTTGTTACAGAATTGGTGCGCATTTTCCAAATTGCAGGGATCTCTTAGTCAAAAAAGTTAATGATTGAAGGAACATAATCATTCTCTTAAACAGGAATGAGGAACCTTTGGCCCTCCAGATGTTTCAGACTACAAATCCTGTCACCCTCCCAATTGGCCACACTAGTTGGGACTTCTGGGAGTTGAAATCGAAGACATTTGGAAGACCAAAGGTTTCTCATGCCTAATCTGAAGTAAGCAAGACAAAAATTATTACCGTATTATTCCTTACCTAGGGGTTGGCAGAGTGACAAGTCAAGAGTTTTCTCCTGTCCCACTGAATGTATTGAGTTAGCAAAAGACACAGGAGACACCGCTTCTATGCATTCCTTGGGACCTTCCTTCATCTGCATCTCCTGAGAACCACTATGACCTTGTGTGTAATTTTTTGATACTAATATAGCGCTTTGCAGTACCACACTCCGTGAATTAGATGGCTGTTGTTGCCTATTGACTGCATTATCTGGATCTTGTGGCTTCTTCTCCCAAGGGTTCTTCTCCAAACATATGGAGATTACCTCCCCCCCCCCATTCAGTCCACAAGCTACCAAGGTTCCTAAGCCATCTCCTACTACTTGTATAGGGTGGGAATATATTTTACTTTATGGGAGGAAGTCCTTCATTTGAAGGGCTGCTGGAGGACAACCATCCTTTTGAAGGTGTCCTCCATTGGAAGGAGTCTCTAGCCTGGTAAAGAAGCATTAGGAAGGAGGTCAGGGACCTTGACGTTAACCCAGCCACAGAGAACAGCCGCTGGTGAGCAGACCTAACAGACACACTAATTGCTCAGCCGTTCTCTTGCTTATGTGACACACATCATATTTGTCTTTAAATTCTAAAAATCGTATCTAATTTTGTGTCTATACTTATAAAATAATACATGCAATTTTATGCAAATCAGTTTCTTCTTTTGTCCTCCTTTTTTGGTGGTTTATAAGCAGTCAGGCTATGCATCTACTGTTACACTATATTCTTTACACTGATATTTTTCTTAACTCTAAACCCTTGCATATGTGCCAGCCACTCTCCCCCCACCCACCACCCCCAATTAAGGCCTGAGGGGATACCACAAGCTGATACGGATGTCGGGCTGATTTGTTCCAGAGTCAGGTTCTATTTGGTGGGTTTCTTCCTCTTCCTTCCTCCTTTTCTTTAACTGATTGGATATGTCTGAAGTTATAATTTTGCATTTCTATTTCATTTGCTTTGAGCAAAATTTGTAATGTGAAAAAAGTGGTATATATTTAATGAATAAATGGATTATTATGGCATAGTGTCTTTTAACAGGTAGTGCTAGGAGCATTCCATTTGGATATTCAGTGGGGCTATACAGGCAATATATAGTTTCCTTTTATAAAATGGAAGCCTAAATGTTTTCAGTCTCATAGACAATGGCTTCAAGTCTTATGCTAATAAAAGAGAAGACAGAAATACAGAATTGTGGCTTCATAGACTGCATTTTTTTTAAAAAAAATCTGAACAGAGAATATAGTTGCCCACCATTAGAGTGTGCCCAGTCCCGTTTCAACCATTTATATCTTTTTGAAATCCTGGCCTCATGAAAATGAGATGATGCCCAGTTCGTCATAGCAGTCCATACCTCAGCATGATTCTGAAATGTTAAACCAGAAGCCGTTGCAGCTGAGACAGGAGACTGACTTAACAGAGTCGATATCCTGTCTAAATAATGGCCTTTATGAGCGTATCTAATCATTTTAAAAAGCAGCTTATAGTGTCACACTTCCCATGGTGCCAAACTTGGCTGATTTATTATGTGCTGCCTGAAAAAGTATTTCTTTGGAGCCACTGTACCAACTGATTCCAGTGGACGGCTTGTGTTTTTGATTGTCTGCTGTTTTTGAGAGGGGCTGGATGATTTCCTTCTGTCTGCTTGTTGCCATCTGTAGTGACATTTCAGCCCAAACTTCATTTGGTTTCCTGTCTTATAAAGACAAAATCACTTTGCAGCTAATATCCAAATTGAAGGCTGTGGTAGCTTGCCAGGTCCTAGGACATTGGTCAAAGTCTCCATGGTTGGCTGTGTTTCACCAGGAAAGGAGATGAATTTCAAGCCCCCAAGTTGAAGGCTGTGACAGCTTGAGTTGCCAGGTCCTAGGACATTGGTCCAAGTCTCCATGGATGGCTGTGCTTCACCAGGAAAGGAGATGAATTTCAAGCCGAGCTATGCTAGAGGAGGTGAAAGTGGGATTTGTGTGTGTGCCCTTAATGCTTGGGCACATATCTCCGTTCATTTCCCTCTAACATGAGGGCTCACAGGCTTGGCTTGATTGCGTTTTTATGAATATTGTGTCAGGGCGGTGTTAGCTCTAGGACCGAGGGGGAGGGCACGGGGGGGAGGGAAGCCAGTGTTTGCAAGCACTTGGGGCCCATTATGCCATTTGGAGCAAGGCACAGAGTAGAGTGCCAGTGTTACCATTTGTGAAACTTTTATCACAAAGACACCATCCCCACCAGAGCACAAAGCCCTATAGCCTGATCTCAGATATGGGTCCTAGCATCTGGAATGCTGCTGACCTGGAAAACCTGATAGTTCAATGAGTGGACTATTTCTCTGGCTTGCCAAAAAAGAGACAAGACAGATTGCCAGGTTTGGACATCACAGTAAGCAAACCATAGACAGAAGAGCCCTGGTTTATTTGGCAACTCTCCCATGTCGAAAGAGCAACCTGGTCTCAATGCCCTGCACAATGGCTCATTCCCTTCAAGCCACAATCAGAGCAAAATGAAGTTACTTTTTGGGAGCACGACTCCCAGAAACCATAACCCTAGTTGGGAGATTCTGGGAGTTGTTATTCAAAGATGCAAAGATGCACAACCTCTAGTTGCCATCCAAGACATTGAACCAAAGAAAACAACACTTTTGCAAACTCTGGCTACAGTTTTAAAGAATTTTGGCGTGTCATTTCGTGTGGATTCAGTCTTTGTTTCGCTATATAGCCATAAGTGAACATAGTAGTTTTCCTTCCTTTTAGAAGAAGGGTTGCAGAATCCCCTTTAGCTGTGATGTCACAAGGTGAAATTTGTAAAACAGGCAGAACAAAATGCAAAGCTTCTTGAATTTCAAGTCTTTCCACATTGTTTTAGGCTCTGAACCATCGTATAGCCATATGTGAATTTTTCCAGTAGGCCTAAAAAGGCCCATCTTTTCCTGTCTTTATTACGTAACAACGAGGCACTGTACAGAAGAATCTATATGCTCCAGTCCAGACCAAAGGGTTTACCAGACCACCTGGCCTGGAGCATCTAGATTTTAACAGAAACAAGGCAAGGCGAAAGCAAGGTGTGTGGTCCAAAATAAGGGAGTCAGCAAACCACCATGGATGGGGGGGGGGGTTTAACTCACTCTGTGATACTTTTGAGTGTGACCATTTCGTATGTTGCAGCTGGGGAGGTGGAAAGCTTGCCCTGAGAATACTTATTGCACAGCAAAAAGAGGACAGCAAGTGAGAAAATAAAACGTAAGTCAATAGAAGAACGGGAAGATGGCTTTAATCCAGAAGTAGGGTGTGCTGCAGAAGAGAAGAAATGAAACAGCTGCTGAGGAGGGGGTCTCAAGGAGGCTACTCAGCAGGTTAAGGGCAACAGGGGCAGGATCAATAGCACACAAGAATGCTGTACCGCCACCCACATAAAATCTAATGAGGAGGCGCCACTCATCCTTCCTTCAAGATGTGAACTTCAGATTGGGAAAGTTCAGAAGAAATAGGGCATTTTTGGTCGTAGTTTGTGACCGACGCCCTAACTCCAGAACTCTTTTTCTCAAGTTAGCTGCAGGCTACCCTTTTTGGTGGATTTTCAGAAAGCACATAAACACACCCACCCATCAGTGCAGGCTTGTGGCTTGGATTTCACATGGAGGTTGCTCTTAATCTGAACTTTAAAGGTGGTATCTTTGTTTGCTTGCTTGCTTGTTTTCATTTCTGTGCTATCTTTCTCCCAGTTGAAGGGAACAAAGGCAGCTAGGAACACAATACATTGTTACACGAAAAACAATTAAGCATATAATCGGATTAAAACAATTCATTTAAAACAGTTAAAAACACACTAAAACACACACAAAACAATACAAATGTCCAGCACCCAAGATCAAAATTCTTCACTGCCCATGGCTAAAAAGGGACAGTTTTCACCTGTCATCAGAAGGACAAGAGGAAGGGGGCCAACCTAGACTTCCAGGCATTCCACCATCTGGGAGCAGCCACAGAGATGAAGGGGGCCAACCTAGACTTCCAGGGGAAGGCATCCCACCATCTGGGAGCAGCCACAGAGAAGGTCCTCTCTCTCTCATGCACCCACCAAACATGCCTGAGCGGGGAAGTGGGACTGAGAGAAGAGTCTCCCCTGAATATCTTCAGAGCCAAGTAGTCTCGTATGGTCCTTCAGATAGAGAAATGGTCCTCCGGGTAGCCTGGACTCAAATTGTATAAAGCTTTAAAGTTTAAAGTTTAAAGTTTAAAGCTTTAAAATTGTATAAAGCATTAAGAGCCTCGTGGCGCAGTGGTTAAAACGCTGTACTGCAGCTAAAACTGTGCTCACGACCTGGGGTTCAAATCCCAGGTAGCCGGCTCAAGGTTGACTCAGCCTTCCATCCTTCCGAGGTCGGTAAAATGAGTACCCAGCTTGCTGGGGGGTCTCCCCTGAATATCTTCAGAGACAAGTAGTCTCGTATGGTCCTTCAGATAGAGAAATGGTCCTCCGGGTAGACTGGACTCAAATTGTATAAAGCTTTAAAGGTAATAAGCAGCACTTTACATTGGGCCCAGAAATTGACTGGGCAAGCAGTGAAGCAGTTGTAACAGGGGACATATGCCTTCCTGTAACTGGCCCCAGTCAGGAGCGTGGGGGCAACATTTTTGAAGCAGGTGAAGTTTCCAAAGGCAGCCCCACACTAGAGTGCATTGCAGTTGTCCAAGCAGGATGAAATTAAGGCATGTTGTAACCATAGCCAAAGCAGGCACCTTCAAGAACAGGTGCAGCTGCTTTAACTGCAAATGCACTCCTAGCCACTGCAGAGATCTGAGCATTCAAGCTCAGGGACGCATCCATAAATACACTTGAGCTGTAAGCCTGAGTAGTAAGGAGAAGTGTGACCCCTTCAGCATAGGTTTAATCCTCTATTCCAGGGGTGGTAAATCTTTGGCGCTCTAGATTTATTTGACAACAACTCCCGGAATCTCCAGACTGCATTATAAGTTATAAAGGATTGTGGGAACTGTCGTCCAAAACATCTGGCATGCCAAAGGTTCACCAACTCTGCCCTATTTCCTGATCTGCCTTTTGATTTACCAGGAGCATATCTGTTTTGTCCGGATTAAGTTTGAGTCCTTATCCAGGCCATTACCAATGACAGCCACTGGTTTAGAACTACAAGTTCCTTGTAGCTGGGCAGAAAGGAGAGACAGAGTTGCGTGTCATCCCCATACAGGTGACTCTGATCTCCAAAACTCTAGATGTCCTCTCCCCCATGGTTCCATGTCTATGTTAAATATAATGGGGGGCAGAACAGAACCCTGAGGAACAACCAAATTACTGAACTTGTTTTGGATACAGGATTCAGCACCTTGGATAACCCCTGTAAAATTCAGATTAAAACCCAAAGCAGATCCCTTCCCACACTCATTTTCTTCCAGTTTAATTTTGAGATTGGCTTTTGGGCTTCCTGGAAACATCTCCCTGACGATCTTTTTTCTTCTTATATTCTTTTGATCTTTATTTTTGTTTACTTGTAATGTTTTTATAAAATTTATTGTTGTCAAATTGTAAGCCGCCTAGAGTGGTCGAACATGACCAGATAGGCGGGATAGAAATGAAATAAATAAAATAAATAAATAAATAATCTCTTCAGCCACTGCAGGAAACAGCTGTGTCTCTGTCTGATCCAGAAGAGCTTCTTTGATGTTCTTGTGTAGAACTTGGAGAAGTTACTTTTTGGCTTTTGAATCACAGACTCCCCAAGCCAGCATGGCTGAGTCACTTCACACTTTGGGTCTGGGAGAGTTGTTCTTATATTTGTTCCTATTTTTTTTCAGGCCACAAACAGGGCTTGGCAATGGAAGAGCAATATGTTAAACAGGACTAATATATACCTCGCAGTTCATACTTGGGAATGGTGGCTTGAGGCATTCTTTCATTCTTACTATCAAAGTATTTGTTATTCTTTGGTAAAAGGGTCCATTGGAGTATTCTTATTGAATACAGTGGGGTCTTGACTTGAGAACTTAATCCATATTGGAAGGCGGTTCTCAAGTCAAAAAGTCTGTAAGTCAAGTCTCCATTGGCCTACAGTGCATTGAAAACCGATTAATCCCGTAACAGGCTGTTTTTGTTCCATTTTGGTTTTTTTCTGGTCTGTAAGTCAAATCTCAGTCTGCAAGTCAAACCTAAATTTTGCGGCCAGAGAAGTCTGTAACTCAAAAAGTCTGTAAGTCAAGCCGTCTGTAAGTCAAGGGTCCACTGTACTCCAAAGTGGCCTTCTCCTACTTTGTCTTGATGTACAGTAAAGTCACACTATCCATTCTGTTTTTACTCACCACCGTTTTGCTTCTCCTTTTCTGTTTTTCTTTCCATCTAGGAAGAGAATTGCCATGGCTCCAACCCCTTGGCTATGCTGACGGACACTTACAGTAAGTTTGGAAGTGCTAGTCCAGGTCAAGACTCGCCCCCTCCTGGAAAAGCCGAGGACAGTTTGGGAGTAGAGCCACCTGCTCAAAAAATCTGGGGCACCGAAGGCATGGGAGATTCCTACGCGGCCACTTTCCCCAATGGGAATGGACTGATGTCTCCTTCGGCAAGCCCGCAAGCTTCCACAACCTACAGCAATGACTACAGCCCCTTCTCCCATTCCTTCCCAGCCTCGCCCACCTCCCAAGACCCATCTTCCTTGCTGGTATCCAAGGGGCACCCATCCCCTGACTGCCTCCCCAGTGTCTACACTTCCTTGGACATGGCACATCCTTATGGCTCCTGGTACAAAGCTGGCATTCACCCAGGCATCTCCACCAGCTCCAGCAACCCCACCGCTTCCTGGTGGGACATGCACTCTAACAGCAACTGGCTGAGCTCTCAGCCCCAGTCGGATGGGCTCCAGAGCTCCTTGCAGTCCATGCCAAGCCAGGCCCCCATCAGTCCCCAGCTGCCCAGTTACACTTCTGAGTTCACCACTTTGAACCCTGCCCCGTACCCTGCCGTGGGCATCACCTCCTCCTCCCACCTCCTCCCTTCCAGCCAGCATGTCCTGCCCCAAGAGATGTACAAGCCCAAGCCGGTCGCCAACAACTCCCTGATGGAAGGAGGGATTGGACTGAAGTCCGGGAGAGGCGGCTCCTTCGGGAGCACGGCAGGCAGGTCAACCTGCGACTGCCCCAACTGCCAAGAGCTGGAGCGGCTTGGGGCCTCTGCAGCCAGCCTGCGAAAGAAGCCCATCCACAGCTGCCACATTCCAGGATGCGGGAAGGTCTATGGGAAGGCCTCACACCTCAAAGCCCACCTGCGGTGGCACACTGGCGAGCGCCCCTTTGTCTGCAACTGGCTCTTCTGCGGCAAGCGCTTCACGCGTTCGGATGAGCTGGAGCGCCACGTGCGCACGCACACCCGGGAGAAGAAGTTCACCTGCCTGCTCTGCAACAAGCGCTTCACCCGCAGCGACCATCTCAGCAAGCACCAGAAGACCCACAACGAGCTGGGGGTAGGCAAGCCCCCAGAGGGGGAGGGGGAGAGGGAAGAGGACACGGCGGTGGCCAGTTCCCCTAGCACTGCCCTGCAGGACGGCCTCCCTGGAGAGGAGAAAGACCCCACTAGCCCAGAGCAGAGCAATCTGCTGGAAATCTAGATTGGGCACAGAGTGCCTCATCTTCCCTGCTTCACATTATCACCCACCACCTTTTTTTGGAAGGCCTTTCAGCTAAGTAATTTATTTCCCACGGAGAAGCACAGATGCAGGGGCTGTTGGCCTTCCCTCCAGACAAAGATCTCACCTTGCCTCCCTTGAACTCTCTACCTTCCATCCCTCTGATCCCTGAAGCAAATTTTGCGGAGACCTCAGAAAGGCTGTGACTTTTTGGACCAAGACGGATGTATCAGAGCCAGATTTGAATCCAAGTTTCCAGCCTTTCCCTCTGCTGTTAAAATATAAAGGCCCTGCCTGTCTTCCTAATCTCACCATAATCTCTCAAGAGAATGCACATGAACTCATGCCATTGCATCCATCCGTAGAGTTGGCCAACTAGCAGGCAGGGCAGGACCAAAGTGGGTTTTTCTCAGGGCATGTATAGGAATCATCTTCCATCTGGTGCAACCCACTGACCATTTAATTCCAGCCTCCTTTGTTCCTGCATTACACAGAAGAAGGAAGAGGGGGGAATGCATAGGCATGCATTGAGACTAGGGTGGAGCATCTGCACCCAAAGAACATGTCCTTGCTTCACGATGTACAAAGAAAGAATTGCGATCTCTGATTCAGGACATGGCAAATAGGCTTGATAAGTCCAAAGTTTGAAAGGCCTCCTGTACCTTTTAAGTTTTCCAATGAAAGGGCTAATTCCACTGAAGCCCAAGGGTGGCTTGTCAGGTACACGGCAACACGGATGATTAAAACCACCGTTGGAAAAATCCTGCCTACTGTGAAGCTTTGAAAGGTATGCAAGCCCTCTTGGGGCCTGGACATGAAATTCTGTGAGCAAGACCCTTAATAGAAGTCTAGGGGGCCATTGTTTTGAAATAAGAGGCATCTGTGCAGACAGGAGGAAGCTCGACAAGTGAAATCTTGTTCTTTTAAAAACCAAGCAGGCCCAGGGGTTAGTTTAGAGAATAGGTTTGAAAAGGGCTGGATGAGGGCCCACTTGCACAGCTGTTGGCCCATTGTGCACATACGATGGAGGCTCCACCCTGACCTGTTCCCTCTGCTTTCTCTGCTCTTTAATGGAATACCCATGAAAGTTGACCAGTCTGAATAGGTGAAGTGGTCTAATATCCCTCCAAGGACAGTCCCTACATTTTCCAGGTCCCAGCTATGCTTATGCTTCTTGGGTATGTCAAGCACCATGCCAAAAGCATAGAGATCGGCTTCAAAATGGCCATTTTTGGAATACTGATCGGGAATGACCCCAGGACTGTTCTTCCAATGAAATCAAGAAAACACAGACACTCTTCTCACAGAGAAGTAACCACGTGGGGAAACCAAGGCTGTCCACTCGGCAAAAGTCAATACAGGGGCTGTCGGCCGTCCCACAAAGGTGCTACAGGGCCCTTGGATCTCCCTCCCTCCCTCCCCATGTATTTAATCTAGAAGTATATTTATGCCGTAAATTATAATGACAGATTAAGAGAAGGAAGGAGGCAACTGGGTTATGCGAGAGGCCTCTATAACACACATGGCATCTTTATCTTACCAGAATTGTCTTCTCTGTTAATTGGGGGCTTTCTCTGTGCGGAGCAACATGATCTACAACTTACTCAGTACCTTTTTCTCTCTCCTCTCTCTCGCTCTTTCTCTTGCTTTATATGATGGGGAGGAAATCTGAATATTTATAATCTTGAAACGTGTTTATGTTCTGTTCACTTTTTAATGATAGACCTGGATTTGAAAATGATAAATATTAGGAATACATGGAGCCAGATGCCAACTGCTGAGTGTTTGAGTTTTGGGAAGAAATCTTATTTTTTTATGGGGAGTTGACCTCTGGCAAAAGGCTTTAAAATCAGTGATGAGACCTTACAGTCCAGGCCCCTGTTTTTTTTTTGCGGGGGGAGGGGATTATTTCCTTCTCAGAAGTAAGTTCTTTGCAGAAACATAGCTAAATTCCTTTCTTCAATCCACTTGATGGTCCTGTGTCTATTTTTAAGCCCACAGGATGAAGGGAAGAGCTATATCCATGGGATCAGTATATACTGATTCACTTATCCACGGTCCTAAAATATAAAAAAATATAAAAATAAAAATTCCCAGAAATATATATTTCTAACGATGCAGTTACCAGAACTGATCACTGGGTGGATGCAGGGATGCTATGTATAGATAGCAGTTGCTATTATAATTGTGATGGTTATAATCTGCATTTTTAAGCATCCATGGGGGTGGTCTTGGAATAGATATCCTGTGAATACAGGAGTCGTACTGTACTACACGTAACAAGAGGCTGCCACTTAAAATGTCATTCCTTTGTTTCCTCCCGCATCTGTATAACATGTAGGCACACTTCCTCTTACACTGTGACATCACGTTGTTTCTCTGTGTGCCCTCTCCTACCCCCCCCGGCAACCCCTCCATTCCCAAAACATTCCTTGGTTGCCAAAGGAAACATGCAATGTGATGATGTTACAATATAGAGAAACATGGTTTATTGTTGTGTAAACTAGAGAATGATAATGTTTGGGTCTATATCTCCCAGAATCCTACAGATAGCATGGTGGGGTGGAGGATTGTGGGAATTGTAGTCAGGATCGTAACTTGTCTAAACTTGAGGGACACTAGTATAACAGCAGGCATAGTTTAGTGCTTGTGTAAGAAGAGCTTTAAAAATCAGAAGAGCCAAGCAGCCCCCTAAATGTTGCCTGCTCAGTTCAGTGCAACAACTAGCATGGGAATTATTTTCGTTTCAAACAGTTTGGATTTTGCTTGTTTTTTAATTTAATTAAGAATAAAATATAAGCTATGTTGAGAAAAAATAAAGCTCAGTGGAGATGGATCCTTCTGTTTTGCAGGAAAGCACAGTTCGGTGCTGTTGTACACCATGATTCAAATAAAATTGCACTTGTATTGCCTGCAAATGTAGTTGCTTCTGGCTTGGGCCTTTATTACTACCCCACCAACTCATAGGCCTATTGGGTTAGCAGGGTGTGTCTTTTGATTTGCTTTTAAAAGGGTTCTTAGACCACAAAAGAGCTTTCTCCGTGAAGCCCACGACAGTTGTAACATGCCATTCAAGATTTACACAGCCTGTCAAAGAGCTGATCTGACAAGGCACTTTTGATCATAAGTAGACTGTGTATTTGGAATCCATTTACATCAATTAGTACCACTCTAGTTGTTTGAAATGCGTACTCGAGTGTGTGCTCTTGATTAGCAAAACTAAATCACACTGGTGAGCTATAGAGGTGGATCGATAGAAGACGAAAACAGCAACATGTCAGCTGAAATACAACATATGATGGTGAAAGACAACACCTCATCATGAGAACTTAATTGTGTTCCTTTTAATATGCCTTCAAAGCTTCTTGAACTATTTCTCCTAGAATGCTCCCTGCCCTCCAAGCTGGCATGACTAAGGGCTCTTAATCATACCATGATCACAGATCAGAATATTATTTCTGGGGAAATCTATTCCTCCTCATAAGCTGTTGTGAGAAGTGTAGGTACACTTAGGGGAAACAAGGAAGGCAAAGTGACGTTTGTTGCCCCTTCTGTGAAACATGTCCAGCACTTCAACCCTTTTGAGTCCTGGTGCTACTAGTCATCGCTAGCCAGATACAAAACATTGCGGGATTCTATGGACCTTTCATAGTTGTGCAGAAGAACAAATCCCAACAGGTGTTTGCTCAATGTTACCTTCTGGACAGTTGAAAAGTCCCGGAGCTCTCCTTGTCCTCCCCTCACCTTACTCTAGCTACATTCTAAAGTCACACAGTTCAACAGCAGTTGCTAGTTCATCATGCTGTGATGAGCTTAGCTAGAACCCAGGAAGGGTCTCTGAAACCGGGCTGACATGCTCCTTGGAGCCTGCCTCCTAATCGGCAACCAGGAAGGCTGCCTTTTAAAATGCTAGAGGTTTCTGAATGATTATCAAAGGCTTCCCCGTATCCAATGGGTGGTTTGTGTGAATGCAGAGACACTTCTCTGCTTCCATGGTAAGGCTGTTGCTATTTTATGCTTGAGCTAAAAGTTGGTGCTGCTTCATTCAAAGCCATGTCTTATGGTCTAATCTGATTCTAACTCACAGAGTTAGTAAAGGGAGCATGTCTTTGCACAGCTTGTTGCTAATGCTTTCAACAGGATTTTCGTTTAAATAAAAGCACTGATCCCCCCCTCCAAAAGCCCCCCCAAGATTATCTCCCAAATTAATTAAAAACATAATTGAAATAAATATAGAATCCAGAGCCAACTCAAAGAAAGCCTTCACAAAAGGAGGTAAGAAAAAGGGGAAATGGCTGCAGATAATCAGCATAGTAAAATAGAACAGAATTTAACACATGAAAAGCTGGCAAGTAGGGGTCCTGTTATTGTTATGTGCTGTCAAGTTGGAACAGGGTTTTCAAGATAATTGGGTTATTTAAGGAGTGGCTTTAACAATTACACACACACATACACACAGAGAGTGAGATTCCATGTCTGAGGAGGGTTTTCAAGATAATTGAGTTATTTAAGGAGTGGCTTTACCAATTACACACACACATACACACACAGAGAGTGAGATTCCATGTCTGAGCAAGGACTTGAACCCATACCCCTCGAATCCTATTCCATCTCTCTATCCACTACACTAGGTATCATCACATTCATACCTGGATCCCTTCTCCATGGAGTTCAGAGCAGTGTCCATATAAATGATTCCATTTTGACCTAGAGCTGAGAGGAGAGCAGGACATCTGTTTCTGTAATGGAGAAGAGGAAATTTCAACGGGTGCAGCAATGCCCACATATATCTCCTCCTGTGGACTCCTGCCAAACATCCTGAAGGCCAGGTTTCAGAGTGAGGTCACTGCAAAAAGCAACCAATCTAAGATGTTATAAAAGGGCAGCAATTTTTGTTTTCATTTCACTTGCAATCAACTTTCTACCGTCAAGGATGGGGAAAGGTGCTTATGTGGATTTTCTGCCAAAAAATGTCCCTGGTTTGGAATACTGCATTCCTTGGTGGTGGGGGGGGGGAGGAAGGGGTGCCATTTGCTGCTCCACCTCAGGCAGCAAACTATCTTAGCCCAGCTACGATGGGGGCTTCTTTGGGCCCCAAACAGGAGTTTTTCTGGAGGGTTTTTTTTTTTTGGTAGAAATAATACTGCAGCCTCAGTCTCAAAGTTGGCCACCTTGGCTTTAGGTGCAACTCCAGTGAATCACAGGCAGGCATCGCCTCTAAAGGTCAGCAGGAGGCTATGTGGAATTCCCTCTGTTGTTAGTTCCCATGGCAGGGAAGGAATCACCCTCCCCATAGGGCTCTCACCGCAAAGCCCCCAAGCTGTTTTTCGGGAAATGGTGCCTACCAGAGCTCCCAGCCCCACAGGAGTCCCCTCGGAACAAAGGCCTTCTGTCAGCAAGCCTTTCGCAAGGCCACAATAGAGCTTTGTACAGAAACAAGCTCCCATCAGAAGAAAGGGCAATTACTGTTCACACCAGCCAGCCTGGACTTTTAACTCCTTGGTATTCACAAAGTTGTCTTCCGTCAACCTAGTGGGAATGAGATGCCCATCAGGTATGCCCTTTCCCTTACAATAGTTTGTTTTAACTGGGCACACACATGTGTGTATGTATGGGGGGGTTCCCAGTATAGGCTCAGGACATTTTGCCATCTGAAAGGGAAAATAAGAGATAATCAGCACTTACCCCCACCCACATTATGACAGCTATACACTCACAGCATCCGTTCCTCGAGCTCAATAGTACCTGATTCCCTGAGATTTTTAGCGCAAAACCCTATGACCAGAGGTAGACCTTCCGATGTCACAGAGGCAAGGCAGGCAAGGGTTTGGAGGAGTGCCATAAGCAGCAGCTGGGCTGGCTGATTCCGGAAAGAGCCAAAAATGGCCTCTACCCTGCCTTGCTTTATAACAGGCCCAACTGCATGGGCCCACCATCTCTCTCCTTGTTTTTCTCCCGTTGTTCAGGCATAAGCAGAAGGCACGTATGAACACCTGAGTCAATGAGGCCAGTTGAGAATGGTTGGAGATGAGTCCCCAGGCTTTTAAGCCACCCCCGCAGGCAAAAATCAACTTTTTTTTCCTTGAGGGCTTCTTGGCCCAAAGCTGTCTCCCTTCCTAAAGAAAGAGAAGTGTAGGAATTCCATGAGACTCCAGCTGGTCCTCGGAGACCCAGTGCCAATCTCTTAATCCAGTGGTCTCCAACCTTGGGCCTCCAGATGTTCTTGCACTACAACTCCCACAAGCCTTCATCACCACCTCTGCTGGCCAGGATTTCTGGGAGTTGAAGTCCAAGAACATCTGGAGGCCCAAGGTTGAGGTCGTTGTCGTTGTTTAGTCGTGTCCGACTCTTCGTGACCCCATGGACCAGAGCACGCCAGGCCCTCCTATCCTCCACTGCTTCCCATAGTTGTGTCAATTTCATGTTGCTCGCTTTGATGACACTGTCCAACCATCTCATCCTCTGTCGTCCCCTTCTCCTCTTGCCATCACTCTTTCCTAAGATCAAGGTCTTTTCCAAGGAGTCTTCTCTTCTCATGAGATGGCCAAAGTACTGGAGCTTCAGCTTCAGGATCTGTCCTTCCAGTGAGCACTCAGGCTTGATTTCCTTTAGAATGGATAGGTTTGTTCTCCTTGCAGTCCAGGGGACTCCCAAGAGCCTCCTCCAGCACCACAATTCAAAGGCATTAATTCAGTGGTTAAGGTAAAAGGTAAAGGTTCCCCTTGACAATGTTTGTCCAGTCGTGTTCGACTCTAGGGGGCAGTGCTCATCCCCGTTTCCAAGCCATAGAGCCAGCGTTTATCCGAAGACAATCTTCCATGGTCACATGGCCAGTGCGACTTAGACATGGAACGCTGTTACCTTCCCACCGAGGGGGTCCCTATTTATCTACTTGAATTTGCATGCTTTCGAACCGCTAGGTTGGTGGGAGCTGGGACAAGCGACGGGCGCTCACTCTGTCGTGTGGATTCGATCTTACGACTGCTTGGTCTTCTGACCCTGCAGCACAGGCTTCTGGGGTTTAGCCCACAGCGCCACCACGTCCCTCTATTCAAAGACA